CCCGCCTCGCCGCCGTCTCCCCGAACCCCGCCTCGCCGCGCCTCGGTGCCGCCGTCTCCCCCGACCCCATCTCTCTCCCCGGCCGCCCTCTGTAAGTACTCTCCCCTTTCGATCCCTCTTGTTTGCTTAGTATGAACCCTAGCTATTTAGTGCTATAGTAGGAACCCTAGGCTATTTTTAGTGCTAGTTAGTTAATTACAATTAGTATTAACCCTATTTAATTAGGTAGTACGAACCCTAGTTAAAAAATGGATACCTATATGGTAATTAGGGCAAGGTACTAATTAGTTAGTAAGAACTAGGTACTAATTAGCTAGGTACTAGTTTATTTTTATTTATAGTAAGTTTATTTTCAGTGAGAACTAATTGAATTAATAGAACTAGTTAGTAAGAACTCATTGCTATTTTTTTAGTTAAAGCAATTTTTCTCGCATCGACGTGGACGATGCCTATCCCGCATCCTCTCGTCGAGTCGGCAGAGGACGACACCCGCTTGACCAGATGGGCCATGTCCGGGACTGGGCTCCGCCAGGGTGGTACTGGGAGGCGCTACCTACCGGGGGGCGCAGGTTGGTGAGGAGCCAGCCTGTCGTTGACCCGAACCTTCTTTGGTGGTGGTCGCATGGGCCAGTGACGGTCCAGAGGCTCGAGGACCCCGCGGAGGTGGTGCATCACCGTGTCAGTGAGGAGGACGCGCACGTCCGTCGCTACTTGTTTGCGTTGGAGCATAGGTTCTCCAATACCTGGCAGGTTCTCCAGGGATCTCACTGGAGCTATGATCATGTGATGGTTCCTTCTCTGTGGGTGTCCACCGCCCGCGCCGATACCCGTCGTGTGCTAGGGTTTTAGTTGTATTAGTGATGTTATATGTATGACACTATTCGGGATGTATTAGTGATAATATTCGACGATGTATGAACACGCATGAGATGCTTTACTTTTGCTTATTCAATGCATGTTAATTTGAGTCCTATAAGATATTTTGAAATTTATATCTTGTGTTGCTTAAATAGGATATGTGCTTGCCCAAGTGGCCAGTCTAGAATTTTGTTTAGGTTGGACGGTCCATCTCTGCTGCCTTCAAATGACTTTTTCCGTTGACCGGGTCGAGAGCCCCTGAATCTGACGTTTACCGCCGTGTTGTCTGGGATGTCTTCATTATTTCGACGCTTGTTTTTATTGCGTCGTGGCTTCCCATTGCCGTCCTTGATTTTGGATGTGCCTGGGTTGCTGGTGCCGCTGCGGGCCAACCAACCGTCTTCGCTCGCGCAAAAGCGGGTCATAAGGCTTGTTAGGGCTGCCATTGTCCTCGGTTTTTCCTGGTCGAGGTGTCTGGCAAGCTATTCGTCCCGGACACTGTGTTTGAAAGCCGCTATGGCTTTGGAATCCGGGCAGTCGACGATTTGGTTCTTCTTGGTGAGAAATATGTTCCAAAGTTTACGGTCTGACTCTCCGGTTGTTGGATTATGTGACTTAAATCGTCTGCATATGAAGGTCGGACATAGGTCCCTTGAAAATTAGCCCTGAAAGCGTTCTCAAGTTCCTCCCAACTTTCAATTGAGTTTTCAGAGAGGCTTCTCAACCAGTGCCGAGCTGGTCCTTTCAACTTGAGGGGCAGGTATTTGATGGCGTGGAGATCGTCTCCGCAAGTCATATGGATGTGAAGAATAAAGTCCTCAATCCAGACTGCGGGGTCTGTCGTTCCCTTGTATGCCTCGATGTTTACTGGTTTAAATCCCTCTAGAAATTCATGATCCAGCACCTCATTGGTGAAGCACAGGGGGTGCGCGGCACCCCTGTATTTGGATGTGTCGTGGCATGCTTCCGACGGATGTAGTGTTCAGTGTCGATTCTGAGCTGGTATTCGATCAGTATAGTCATTTTGGTGGCCATGATGTTGCATGGGAGCACTCTTCCTGGATCCATAGATGGACCTGGCCATACCGGCTCTTTTGTCCAGGTGATCACGTAGATCATGTGCTGACTTGTGTGCGGCGTCATTAGCCGCTCTGTCTCGGCCACGAGGTGGTCGGTCCGGCAGATCGGTCGTATTGTTTTTCGGCGGAATGGGCTCTATAGCCTCGTCTTCGAATTCGGGCAGCAGCTTGCGCTTTGGGTAGCTCTTTGTGTGGCGATCACCACCGTATTTTTTGTCAGTGTAAAGCACTTTGTTCCATCTGTGGTTGAGCGTATCCTGCGCAGCCTTAAGCCTTTGCTTCTGCTTCTTCAAGCTCCTCGCGGTGGCGATAATCCTTTTGTGGAGGTTCTCTTGTTCCAAGTGCTTTTCCAGGATGATGAGTGCATCATCGTCCGGACTGTTCTCCTCTCCGGAGATAGGTTTATAAGTTTTATCTTCGGCATCGCTATGATCGGATAGCGGCCCCAGACAATGTTCGCCGTCCCTGGCTCATCCTGCTCCATCGCTGGGTCGATGGGGTCGTCATTACCTTTGGAGTCGTTTGGGGTATTATTCTTTCTTGTGCCGTTATCGTTGTTTTTGCTGTGGCGGGATTTAGAGCAGCGCCGCTGACGTCGGCGCTTTGGTTGCTTCTCAAGAGGATTATCCTCCGTTGCATCCTTCCGTTCCTCACCGTTGTTTTCTTTGGGTGTGTCCACCATGTATATATCATATGATGAGGTGGCTGTCCAGCGCCCTGTGGGCGGTGGTTCATGTTCTTCTCCGGCATCGTCATTCATATCGTCGATGTCTTCAGAATCGAAATCAAGCATGTCGGTTGAGTCGTCGACAGTGGCTATTAAGTGGGCAGTGGGTGGGAAACGAATTTCTTCGTCGTCCGCTTCCCACTCAAGCCGGACATAGTTCGGCCAAGAGTCTCCTGACAGGGAGAGAGATTTTAATGAGCTTAGCACGTCGCCCAAGGGCGAGTGCTGAAAGATATCTGCGGAGCTAAACTCCATGACCGGTGCCCAGTCAGGTCCGATGGGCACGGATGCACGCGGTTCGGAGCCCCTGGTCGGAGACGAGTCCAAGGATCCGAAGACACAGATCTCCATAGGAGTGGGATCTGTGTTCGGCTTTATCGCCGCTGAGTGTGCGGCCTCCGTGGCAGGGTCCATCCACCCATCCTCGGATGGCACGATCTGCTCCGGATTTAAAGCCAGGGCAGCTGTAGGTGCGATCTCCTGAACACCGTCCGATGGCAGATCTAGGTCATGCTCATCACGACTGTAGGGCGCACCTGTGATGGGTTCGAATCCGTCGAAGATCAAGTCTCCACGGATGTCGGCAGTGTAGTTCAGGCTTCCAAACCTGACCTGATGGCCAGGGGCGTAGCTATCGATCTGCTCCAGATGGTCAAGCGAGTTGGCCCGCAGTGCGAAGCCGCCGAATATGAAGGTCTGTCCGGGGAGGAAAACCTCACCCTGGATCGCATCGTCGTGGATGATTGAAGGAGCCATCAAGCCTTACCGTGACGACACAGTGGAACTCTCAATGAAAGCACCAATATCGGTGTCAAAACCGACGGATCTCGGGTAGGGGGTCCTGAACTGTGCGTCTAAGGCTAATGGTAACAGGAGGCGGGGGGCACAATGTTTACCCAGGTTCGGGCCCTCTCTATGGAGGTAATACCCTACTTCCGGCTTGATTGATCTTGATGATATGAGTATTACAAAAGTTGATCTACCACAAGATCGTAGAGGCTAAACCCTAGAAGCTAGCCTATGATTATGATCGTCCTTGTCCTACGGACTAAACCCTTCGGTTTATATAGACACTGGAGGGGGCTAGGGTTACACAGAGTTGGTTACAGAGAAGGAAATCTACATATCCGAATTGCCAAGCTTGCCTTCCACGCAAAGGAGAGTCCCATCCGGACACAGGACGAAGTCTTCAATCTCGTATCTTCATAGTCCAACAGTCCGGCATAAGTACATAGTCCGGCTGTCCGAGGACCCCCTAATCCAGGACTCCCTTAGATGGCAAGCTTGGCGTTCGGATATGTAGATTCCTTTCTCTGTAACCGACTTTGTACAACCCTAGTCCCCTCCGGTGTCTATATAAATCGGAGGGCTTAGTCCGTAGAGGCAATCATAATCACACAGGCTAGACTTCTAGGGTTTTAGCCATCACGATCTCGTGGTAGATCAACTCTTGTAATACTCATATTCATCAAGATCAATCAAGCAGGAAGTAGCATATTACCTCCATAGAGAGGGCCCGAACCTGGGTAAACATCGTGTCCCCCGCCTCCTGTTACCATCAACCTTAGATGCACAGTTCAGGACCCCCTACCCGAGATCCGTCGGTTTTGACACCGACAAGCGCCAAAGTGCAATGCGGATCGTGAGCTCCTCCTTGTCCGGCTCGGACGAGCTGTACGGGTTACCAACGACGAGCCCCACCCAGTCGAACTCGTTGGAGTCAGAGCCGGCCATGGCGGAGGGGGCGGAGGGGACCATAGAATGGATTATGAGGGGACGGAGGAGATTGAAGAGGGCAAGAGAAGTGAGTGGAGTGGAGTAGCTTTGGATATGCTTTTTGTCAGGATGGTGGTGGGGTGGCGTGGGCCATACTTGGATGAACCGACGTGCCCGCGGTGTACGGGCGCATCCGGGCCTCCCCATATCCGTCCTACATACGAACTTGATATGAAAGTTGCCGGACAACCCAGGCATTTGGGCTAGGTTTGAGGAGCCCGGTTCGGTTGCTAATTTTCATCAAGACAGTGACCAGACATGCCGGGCGTTTGGGGCGGAAATGGGAGATTCAGCTATATATGCTCTAAGGTAGTCTTACCTTAAGCCCAAACATGATAAAAAAAGGATGTATAATGAATTACCCCCTCGGTCTTATAATATAAGAGCGTTTTTTACACTAGTATAAAAGCGTTTATGGGACGGAGGAAGTATTTTTTAAGCTCGTTTGGCGCCCAGATATTGGTCGTGGAATTGTGGGTTCACTTTCGAATTCTGCAACCAACTCATTTGGCTGTGGCGGAATCGGCCGCTGGAGTTGTGCTAAGATATCCTCATATGTGTGATGAGAGATATTGTGTTAAGGGCATCTCCAATGCTACTACTTCTAAAATCGACATTGTACATCCACGGACAGTGATATAAGAGCCGTTCATTTAATCGTACCTGCATCAATTTCGAAACAAATTTGAATAAACCAGACAAATTTCATCAAACACGACAAAATTCATAAAAGTTCAAACATAATTTACATAAATAGACGATATTTCGTCAGTTTAACTTGAACTTAAAAAAACATAGACTGTCTATAGTGAAGGTATGGTGTAAATGGCACCGGATCCCGGCTTAAATTAATGAGGCCAGGTGAAGGAACATGAAGCTGGCTTCAATACAGCGCGGTGGCCGGAGTAGGCTTCTCGACCACCGTGTGGGCATTGAAACGGCACAACCTACTCGTTTGGTTGCGTTGCTTTGACCGGCATCAATGCCGTTCAGTCACGTCCGCTCTTCAGCAGCCCCGGCGGACTTGAATGCGTGGCAACCGCATCGGGTGGAGAGGATTCTTTGGACAGAAAGGTCTTTGGATGGGACTGAATTGTCGGACGCTGAGTGTGTCTGCCGTCCGGAAGACGGCAAAAGCCCCATGGTTTGCGGAAAAAAAGAGCAATCAGACCCGTTCAGGATCAATGGGGTACCCCTTGGATGGCAAATTACGTTCGAAGTCTAAACCGTTTGATCTGAACGCTTGCGAACGGGTTCGAGGGTTTGCGTTCAAGTTGCCCAAAGAGTTTTATTCTTCTGTGAACTAAGCCTAGCTTAGACCACGACAAGGTGCTTCCTGCTCGTGCCGTTGATCGCCAACGTCGTCCGGCAAACCGTCCGCCGTCAAGTCCCAGCCCAGTCACATCTCACACGTCGTTGCCGGCGGCCGTGTGAGTGTCGTACTCGATCCGTACGGCGAGCTAGCTTGTTGGAGTACGTGTCGGTGCCGAGTCACCCAAGAACTCGGCGTCTCATAGTCATCGAATCCGACTAGACTCGGCGTCTCGCTCCCTCTCGCCCAGTTTATATATAGCGTCGCGATCGAGTTGGCTGCGGCAGGCGTCCAAAGATAACACGGTAGAGAGAGGGGATCATCGAGGGAACGAGATTAGCCGGCCATGAGGATCACGCTGGGCATGAGCCTGGAGGCGTGGGTCCCCACGGAAGCGGCGGCGCCTCCCATGGCCATGGGCGCCTGGCGCGCCGGCGAGGTCGTCTGGGGCAACGGCCACTCCTACGTCATGCGCTGGTTCGACGGCGGCCCGGACTCTGGCCGCATCCTGAGGAAGTTCGTCCGCCCGCTCCCTGACCCCGCCGTCAAGCTCCCCGCGGACCTCGTCGCCGGCGACAACGTCGAGGTGCTGGACGGCAGCCTGTGGAAGTGGGCCGAGGTCGTGGCCGCCGACCACGACGGCCGGTTCGAGGTCAAGATCGTCGGCTCGGCCCAGGTCCTTACGGCGGACCGCGGCGCGCTCCGGCCCCGGCAGGTGTACGGGGAGAAGGGCTGGGTGGTGCTCCACAAGGGTAACAAGATCCCCGTCGAGAGCGTCGTGCCGTCGCGCCCCATCCCCGGCAAGAACATCAATGGCAAGGCCAACAATGGCAACAACCTCGGAGGCGGCAAGTTCGCCGCGCCCCATGCCGTCAAGCTCGCGGGCCAGACGACGATGAAGAGGAGCAGCTGCTCGGTGACGGTGGACGGCGACGTGGCCCCGGATGCCAAGAGGTTCCACTTTCATAGTAGCAGCAAGTTGTTCCCCAAGGAAGCACGGGATGGCAAGAGGTTGCATAGTAGCAGCAAGTTGTTCCCCAAGGATGCAGGATACCCAAGCAATTGTTATCTGATGAAGAAACGGCGGCAAGAGACGAGCAATGATCAATCCTACTATCATGAAGAGGCGTGTGATGTGCTCGGAGGAACAGCAAGAGACAGCAGCGACACCGTCGACGGTTCTAGTAGTAGTAGCACGTCCGATCGATCGTTGTCATCGGCGGATGGCAGCGACGGAGACAGCAGCAGCAGCAGCAGCGGAAGCAACAGCAACGGAGGCGTTCCTGAAGGTCCGGCCGCCGGCGAGCATTGCCAAGAAAATCGAGAAGCGTCGATCCCGCCGCCGCCGTCGAGCCGCGAGGAAGAGGGGCAAGATTCCGACGACGGCCGTGCCAGCGTGACAATGCAGCACCGCCCGGCGGATGAGGACGAGGAAGAGGCGGTGACGACGATGAAAGGAAATCGGCAAGCGGCAGAGGTACATGATGACCACGGCCGCGTCCATGGTCTGGAGCTGGAGGCGTACGTGAGCGTGATGAAGGCGTTCCGCGCCACGGGACCGCTGAGCTGGGCCAAGGAGGAGCTGCTGTCCGACCTCCGCCTGCACCTCCACGTCTCCGGCGACGAGCACCTGCAGCTCATAAGGAGCTTAAACGGCGGCAATAGCAAGACACGAAGAAACTAATGCTAGTTTGTCACTAGACTAGAATCCGGCCTAGCTAGCCCAGTGATAGATTCTCCTGCTGTATAGTAGTACATGGATGAAGTAATTATTTGGCTTCTTCGTGTTTGTAAAAACATGCATGAGTACTCTCTGATCAAGCAGTAGAACGCTCCCAACATGCACTTGCGCAAGATCTCATGATGATCATATACTATATCACTATGTTACAATTACATATGAATTTGGATAACCTTAGTAGAATTCAAAGAAATTCGAGTATTTACCCCACAAAACTACCACTTTACATGCACCCGGTCTCAGAAATCTACCACATTTAACTTTGTGTCTAAAACCTACCACTTCTGTCATACTCCCTCCGTTCCATAATGTAGTGCCTATAGATTTTTACAAAAGTCAAACATTACAAACTTTGACCATGTTTATAGAGAAAAGTAGGTACATCTAGAATACCAAATGCACATCATAGGATACATCGTGAGTTATATTTTCACAATGTACATGTTTGTTATTATAGATGTAGACAGATTTCTCTATATACTTGGTCAAAGTTGGTAAAGTTTGACTTTGACAAAAATATATAGGCACTACATTGTGAAATGGAGGGAGTAAAAAATTGCTAAAAACTGTCGTTTTTAGTTAACAGCTGATTTAGACGATTTAAACATATTTATGGCAGGCGGGACTCACATGTCAGGACTGATGTGGCACAACTCCATTTGGTTAACTGTTAAGTTGACCGCAGGGCCCATGTGCCATCATCAACACTCCTCTGCCAAATGAATGGGTTATAGAATTCGAAAAAGAATCTGCGATTCCGCACCCAATACCTGTGTGCTAAATGTAAGAGACAATTCATTATACATCCTTTTTGTTTTGTCATATCTAGTCTTAAGGTCAACTCCACCGCGCGACCCCAAACAGACGTTCGTTTTGTCTTGATTCTGTCCGTTTGGGTAGGGCAACGGGGTCGTGTCCAGACAGTTTCCAGGATGCGGTGGCCATGCGTCCAGCGCGCGGACGCATCCCAACCGCATCTTGTTCGTGTGCACATTTCTTTGCAAGTCCTTAAACTTTTTTTATCATTCATTTTTGGTACATGACAATACATCATCACATTTTGACTAGTAAAGCAAGGCCAAAAAAAACAAGAACCACAAGAATACATTTGAGAAGATACTCAACTTCCATAACTGCTCCCTTGAGTTGGGTTAGGGCCTTCTCGATGCACTCATTATTGATCTGTGGAGGAGGCTCGACGTTGCACCCTCCTTTCTTCTTCAAGCCAGAAGTCGATGTTGCTTCCTCACACGTAGTATTGTGTCTAGCCTTTAATCTAGCAACAAGTGCACTTGGCTCATCTACAGCCTCTAGGCTAGCTAAAAGTGCACGAACATGTACTAAATTTCGCTCTATCAATATATCAATGTACTCTTCTTCCCAATACCAAAACTTGCATCCATTCTACACAATAAAACTTAAAGTTAGCACAACTAGTCTAACCCGAGAGCACAAACCGAAGCTAAAAAGAGCACATACCCCATCGTTTAAGCACTTGATGAACACCCATAAGGGATGCTCCGGCGTTGTAGACACGTGGCGCACGACCATCCTTGGGCAGTGGCCGCACTTGATGAGGGGCAACGGTGCGCCGACGAGCTTTTGGGCAAGCACCGAGCCCGGCCGGCCTCCATTCGTGTATCTGCCGGTGGACCACCGACGGTGTAGATCCGAGCGGCTAGAGGACGAGCCACTGCCTGCATGTGGCCTTGCGGCCCTGCCAGGGCCTTCCGGCGAGGTACCCAGCCAGTCCATGTCGCGGCCCGGCCTCCCACAGCCGGGCGAGCTCAAGACCGACCAGATCCGCCCCAAATCCGGCCGGCGAGTGCGCAAACCAGGTGGCCGTGGTTGGGTAGCTTGGCGGCGACGAGGGGAAGGGGCTGGGCGAGCGCGCGTCCGAGTTGCACGGCTGCAATGGCAGCGGCGGCGGCGGCGAGGGAAAGAGTGGGGAAGAGTGGAGAAGAGTGAAGTGGGATGCGGCCAGAGGGAGTGAGGGGGCGGATAGAAAAAAGCCTGTCCTGTGCCACCGACGGGCGGGCCAGGGAAGGACACGTGCAGACGGCCGGTGCGTCCGCGTAGTGTCCGTTTCACCCCAAAAGCAGCACAAACTTGGGCCGCGGATGAGTCGAAAGAGGACACAAAACAGACAAAAGTCTATTTGCTCCCGTGCGCTAGGCCGCCCGGTTTGTCCATTTTACCCCAAACGAACGGGGCCCGGATAGGATGGGGTCGCGCGGTGGAGTTGGCCTAAGGTAAGACTAGCTTAGAACATCCACAACCGGATCCTCATTTCTAAGCACAATATAGGCTAGCACTCCGGCACTCACGGATGGACCAGAATGGGAGCTCCTCCTCGACGGCGTCCCTGAGCTCGTGGGTCGGCAATTCTTTCTTCGCAGCAGCCCGATACCACCATGCCCGCTCCCTGCCATTGACAGCGAGGCGGCAGCGCGAGATCGAGCAGGGGTGCCCGGCACCGCCAGTACCGGCCCCTGTTGGGAGCCGTTGGGTGCTAGTGCCCGCACCCCCAGCCCGCCCGCGCGACAGTGGCAGCCGGAGATGGTGGGCCATGCCTACCGCCAGGTGATGAAGGCGGCGCGCAGCACAGCTACCGTTCATCCAGATCAGCACGGGAGCCGCTGCCGCCCACTGAGGATGACGTGACGCTCCGCCTCGCAATCCGCTGGCCCTACACCCTCGATGGACATAGATGCCCACCGCCTCCGTCGCAAGAACGCGACGGCTCTCCGTCGCGTGCTCGAGGAGTCGGTGAAGGTGGCATGGTTGAAGGAGGTGGTGGTGACAGAACCACGCCACCCGCCGCGTTGCGGGCTTCCTTAGTCCGTCTCGTCCTCCAGCTCCGACGGCGACAGCGGCAGTACGATGGACGACGACCAACCACCCACCAAGGATGCGTACGGCACGGACAACCGTCCAGACCCCCAAGGGGACGCAACCGACGAGGGAGTGGTGAACTACGGGCGCCCGTGTCCATTTATATCTAAGTTTTTTTGTTTATAATTAGCTAAAATTTAAACTGTTCAGATCCTTTTGTATTATGTGGATGTCCGACGTCGGAGGTGCTAAGTTTTATGCTATATCGTGTGATCAACGTAGTTTGCATGTGTTTGTATGAAGAGTCAATTACATCACTGGTGCTAGAACTTGGCATGAATGGTCACTTTAGTGCTACAAGTTGTAGTGTACATTAAAATGATGCAAAAACTTGACTTCGCAGTGCAAATACGATGCAAAACTCGTTTGTATACGCCCACGACGCTGATGAGGCATGCCAACAAAGCTTGGGGCCCGCTATCAATGACGGGATAATGAGGACAGGCCGTGCGACTTGCTCTTTTTGAAAAAGTTTTTTTTTTGCAAAAAAAAAACACCGGGAGGACCACCTGCACAAAACGCATTGAGGAAAAAAATAGCACACACAGGGTTTCGAACCTATAACCAGCAGGTAACAATACCCTAAAAAAAAACACCTGAAAAAAAAAACCAGGTAACATGCGATGTGAGCGCACCTAACCACCGACCAATGAGACATTCCGTGCCAGCGACCTGAAGATTTCAGGCATACACGATTAACTACCAGGGCCACCAAAATTTGTTTGCTAAATAGGCTATTGTACTGAGACCACTTATATATATATATATATATATATATATATATATATATATATTCTTTAGACAATATAATTTTTTACTTATAGGTATTGCACACGATTTTTCGTAAATCATAAGTATTTTGTTTTCTAAAAGTTTATAAACAGTTTTGAAAGCATGAAAACGTTTATCTGCATGCATGTTTTATTAAAAAGGTGAATATTAAAATTATACGAATTTACATATTTTAATAAATGTTTATATAATTTAGAAAACATTAATGTATGTAGTTTTAAATGGTTAAATATTTTATTAAAAATGTCGCAGGTGACCTCAGGTATGATCTTCATATTTATTAGTATTTCTTGTTCCTGGGACAACTTACTGTTATTTATTGTTTTCAATATATTCAACATTTCTAAAACTACATTAATTTTTTAAAATTTCTATGAACTTTTATAAATATTTGTATAATTTTAAATTAACGTTTTTAATAAAATATTAATGCAATATATAGATTTTTCATGCTTTTGGAAAATGCTTATGTACTTTTAGGAAAAATAATAATGCTCCATGAAAAATCATGTGCACATTTATAAGGAAAATATTATATTTTCTAAAGAATAGAAATGTGGCTTCAATATAAAAGAACCATTAGCCTATGTATAAGAAACAATCTTTGTCGGGTGTTGGTTTGCACTATCGGGATAGGAGGTCGCTGGTTTGACTGTTGGATTTTTTTCATTCAAAGTTTAGAGTTTTAATTTATGTTGTTAGGCCAAACTGGTATAGAAAATATTTATTATCATAGAGAACTAAATGTCGTCAGGCCTGGTGGTTAATCGCCAATTTGTAAAATATGTAGGTCCTTGGTTCGAACCACTAAGGTGCACCTTTTTCATTTGTGTTCAAAAAGAATTAATTTACACTGTTAGTACTGATCACAAATGAACAGGAAACTTGATCGGTTGATTTGGTAAGGCTTGCAGGACCTGCGGGTTTGAGGTTCGAAACCTAGTGGGTACAATTTTCCTATCAGTGCTATTTTTGACAGTTGGGCCACCTAGTGTTATTTTTGTGCGAAAAAAACTGAAGGTTTTTTTTGCAAAAAGAGCAGGCCACACGCCTTGCCCCCATCGTCTGACAGCGGGCCTCATGCCAAGCTAAGACGCCTAGTCAGCGTCATGGATGTAAAAAACAAGTTTTGCACCGTATTTGCACCGCAAAGCCAAGTTTTTGCACCACTTTAATGTACACTACAACTTGTAGCACTAAACTGATCATTCATGCCAAGTTCTAGCACTAGTGATGTAATTGACTCTTGTATGAAT